TTTCTTGATGCGATCGTAAATAATAGAGTCGGTTTTGTTCAATTGTGGAATATGCATCAACCACGTAATGTTGAAGTGCCTTCCCACCTCGCATCAATGTCTGGCCTTCGTCGTCTCTGTGCTGAAGCCGGTAAGCATAGTACTCTCTCTGAGTCACATGTTTCCTTTTCAATGTTTTGGGAGTATGAACAGGGTCATACGGTATGGTTACATGGAATCCATCTTCTCCGTATGGGAAAAGAACCGGAAAATGCAAAGCATCAAACTTCGGGTGTACACTTGTGATCCTCTTCAGGCCCTCTGACCGATGATCGATAATGATGTCTCGTTCTTCCTTATCAGGCAAGAAATCACCAGGAATGAGTCCAGCCAATTCTGAACCAGTTGGAAGTTCATATTGTCGAGATGTTGTGTCCCTTGCACCAACAATACGCAGTCTTAAATTGATTGATGCTGGATCATTCAATTCAGATCGAATTCGTCTAAAAGACTTAACTAATTCATTTGTCACGTCAAACAGCTTCATTAAACCAGAAACAATATCAGGACGCAGGGACCGCTCAGCAGAAGAGAAATTGGAGAGTCGATCTGCTAATTCGGTCTGCGGGTCAAAGACGTATAGCTGAGAATATTTAGGTCTCTGACCTGCAGCAGGAAGCAGAGATCCCATTCGATGATAATTTTCTCCGCAGATCACAAATGAATAAGGTCCTCGTGATCGTGTAACTCTCGGATCAAGGCGTGCTCCAAAAGATGTGAAAGAGAACGCAGCATTATAGGAGCGTATATGTTCCCTGAAGTGCGCTGCCATAGGACCGCCATTAACACCCAAGAGGTCTTCAAGGTACTGAGGAGTTTCCTGTAGGAATGGGAGGCGTACTCGACCCTTTTGACAACAAAGCGTGAAAACAGGAGCAAGAGATGCATGCCTGTTCAGCCGCTCTTCATACCAGAACCGTGCACCACAGTACTGGCATTCACAGTCAGGGAAACCATGATTGATAATCCGATTGAATCTTGCTTGTTGTGAAGGTGGTAGAGGTACATCAGCCAATGAACAATGACCATCCAACGCAACAGGAGGATGAGTTTGCGAGCTGGCTGTTAAGTCTTCAGGAGTTCTTAAGTCAAGTTCGGATGCGTCAAGTTCACCTTCTGAGTCAAGCAGTGGGTGCAAGCGTCCCCGTCTATCAAAGGTGCACACACGACGCCTCAGAGAACTTCTCGAAGGAGGCGTGGTAGGTACAAATTCAGTGGAAAGACCAATATGACGACGCTTCCTATTCGCTGAACGACCGGGTAGTAGGAGTTCAGCCTGTCTAGGAGTGGCCTAAGATCACACACTGACGTTAGGAAAAAAACAGGACCTGGAAAGTATAGCACAAGCGTAGCATGGTATAGGAACACAATGGTAAATGTAGTAAGATAAAAGTAATAATTTGGCCAAACTAACCATGCCACGCCTTCTGAACGGGTACAGTGGAATACAAACACTGGCAGATTTGCAGAGGAAGGCAGATACCAGGTAATAGTATAGCATATGTAGCAGAGAATTTCATTCAATGCCCAACAGGAAAGACAGAATGAGCAAAAAGAAGCAGTAATGGGAAAGCAGTTATGGAAGAAGGCAGTCTACAGGTAAACGGTGTTTCCAGGGGGAAATATCCTTCTTAAGAAAAAGTATAATAATACAACATGCACCATAGCAGGCTAGTCTAGAGAAGTGAGAAGTAATAAAGCCATCATTAGTGAACAGGGTAGTCAGAACAATAAATGCATGATGGCAATTAATAGAAGAGGAATAAGTTTATAATTTGGGTCTATGGAAGCTAGTAAACAAAGTCATGGTATTAGTGGACAATCTAAATATCTAGTTTCTGTGTGGCTGGTAGACACAACCTAAATACCCTGCAAGCGGAAAGGGTGTGCACAATGTGGTCCTCAAAGTGGCCATTTACAACAGACAATGGCCACCTGCGAATAAAGAGCAAAACAACTGGCTAACGAAGTAGATACAGGTGCGATGCGAATGCGGGTTAAACGGCAACATTCCGCCCAACAAATGATGATACAAAGTAAACCAGTTCCTTAGCACAAACTAAAGATCAGTTGCAGAGTGGCGCGATACTATGCCACTTAAAGAAGGCCATGGCAAAATGTTGCTTTACGGTAACGACATGGAGCTGGTTAGAAAGCAGGTACGCAAGGGGTAATCTGGACAAAGAGGTAACTAATACAAGTAAAATGTCACAGCAGACCAGATTGGTAAAAGTGGTGCCAGTAATGGAACACCACAAGTTTGGCAAGGGCTGCAAATGTAGATACAAAAGGCAAAAGTACATAGTGCACTACTCACTAAAGAGTGTTTCCCTTTAAAAGTTACACAAAAGAAAGGGAGGGACAGCACTGCACAAACATGTTACATGAGAACTCGCATGATGCGAAGCATGGTCAATCAGCAAACAGTTGCTTCTTAGCAGGTTCCTTAGCAGACGATTTGGGAGTTTTTGGCTTCCTTTTAGAGGCATCCACAGATGCTTCAATGGCCTTTGCAGACGGTGTCCTAATTCGCTTTGCCCTCCCAGGATTAGTTTTCCCCACTGGAAGTAGCGGAACTTCTTGGCCAGCAAGAAAAGGGGAAGGCAAAGCAGAGTCAACGGTAGGAACAGGACAAGTCGAAGAGTTTTCAATAGCCTGTTCTTGAAGTGGAAGTTCAACGTCCAAGTCTTGCAGTTCCAAAGGGACAACAGGTTCGTCTTCATCAGAAGAAACAACCAAGCGACGGCGACGTACAGGTGCAGGATGTATAGACACAGATTGCCTAGAAAAGGAGACAAAGGAAGTAGGTCTGTAAAAACACATCTATATGAAAGAACATGCACATTCCTATGCAATGCGGGAGCAACTTGCAAAGCACGAATAAGATAATGACTAACAACAAAGAACCAACTGCACAAGGAATCTCCCTACAGTAAAGACGATTATTACTTCAACTGTGGGAAAACAATTGATTTGAACCTGACCAAGTAAGCAGAAGCCACAACTATTTGTTTATTTTGGTCTGTATAAACAAAAAAGGGAGAACATTCGTAGATAATTAGTATGGCCACTGAAAGGTAACATTGTATGTCTGCACATTGAAAACACGTGTAAGTTAGCGAAAGGCGAAGAAAGGGATACAAAAGGCCATCCATCGGCTATTGTATTTTATGGTAACGACTTAGAACCATGTATAAAAGCAGAAGACCAAATGTAATTGAAAAGCATTGGTTGCAGTTCTTCTTGCGTCAAAATAAGTATTCTGTGCAGACTGGAGGCCTTTTGTTATCAGGTTTAAAAGAGCACCAAAAGCATGCAAACTGGAATTCTAGGGAGCAGACAACACTGGCAAGCGAATAATTAGAACGACACATACTGTGACAAAGGCTGAAGTGTTGTTGTCTGCAAATTGACACCGAGGCCATTAAGATTTCCAGAGTCAGGATTCGCCGATTCGGTTGGCAAAGGATGTCCAGCAGGGATCTCAAGGGACGATATTGGAACATCGGTTTCTGCAAGAGTAACTGCAGGACGACGCGCAACACTTGCACTTCCAGTTTTCCTGCAAAAGTCCAACAAAGCTGTATAAGGTAAGGACAGTAAACCGCAGTACAATGCAGGATACTATGATAAGTAAAAGAATTCCAAGAGACAATAGTGGCGTATGCACAGTTAACAACCAAGCAAGTGGTGAAACGAAATAACAATGGGGAATCGGTAGGAAGCGGGCACATTTGCAACGAAGGGTGCACAAAAAACCAAAGTCAATTGGCAATATGCAAACAGAAGCAAGGTAAACAGGAAACTAAGACCTAATGTAGGATATGGTAAATTTGGTACAAGAAACATAGTAAGTAATAAAGGGCAGAGAGACTTCTTCTTAGCAGATGGTTTCTTCGGCTTCGCTTTCTGCGAACTAATGGTCTTGTTCTGCACAGTAGCATCTGTAGTGTCCGAAGCAAGTTCCCTGATACAGAGATGCTCAGGAAGGAAAGAAAGAGACACGTAAAGCTAGTAAGTAAGTTAACAGGAGGGAAGGTACTGTGGGGATCGCTGTGTTGCAGTTTCTGGGGCCACTTCCTCACTTCTAGGGCTAAGAAGCAGTTAAAACGGGTGTGCAAGAGTCATTGACAAATATAAGCAGGCGTTAAGTCGAACGCTTGAGGTAATACAGGAAAAGGCAAGAAACTGACCGCGCATAGGAAACAATCTCAGTACGGGCAAGTTCAGGAGAAGGAGCTACAACACTGTTGCTGAAAAGAAACATGTCAGAAAACGATATCAGAACGTGTATAAGCAGCACTGAGCTAGCAAAGCAGACAACAAACAGACAACCTTCCCAATGCAGCAGATGAGGGTGAGGATACAGCAGCGATGCGCCTACTGGAACTTGACGGTAAACAACGCATGAAAAAGAAATGTCAACACATAGGGAAAGAGTTCGACAGCGTCCAAAGAAGAGCTTGTTAATTTTGTAAAGCAAAGTGGGCTGTACAAAAAACCTGTTGTAGGGGCGACGTGGAGGAGTAGAAAATGCAAGCTGAGAACTCCCACTGCAAATTTAAGAAGGAACCCGAGTTCAAGACAATCAACAACCAGCGAAAAGAGGACATGTAAAATTGAAGCATTACCTTGGTGAAGCAATAGAAGAACCATGGTCTACCGAAGCGGTCTGAATTGTTGGAACAACATATGGAGACGTAAGAGGCATCAAGTGAGGACTGCAACGGAAAGTAGCGATTAGTAATGAACAAAAGGGGACTGTTCCACAAACTGGAGAACACGGGAAAAACCTGTTAGGAGGTGGTGTATGGGGCATAGCATTTCTTGACCGGCGACTAAGAGTTGGTGAGCAGGAATTTGGCTGTTCTTGCTCATTGACAGCAAGGACCGTGAACTCTGGCGGGCCACGAGCCCCATATTCCGGTTTTGGGAAGCTGGACGTCAAAAGTAAAGTCTCGTCCTTCAAGAGCCAGAAGTTCTTGTGGAAGAACATTGCGCTGGTAAGGAAACCTAGTAGAGAGATCGTTAGCAGTCAAGCCCACAAGAAGGTCAGCGGCCCTACCCAGCAGAACAAAAGCTGCTGATCCAGTGTTGTCATCAACTGTTACCCGAAGTTTGTAACTGCAAAAAACGTGTACAGGAGCGTATGAGGACACGAGAAAAAGCCAAAAGGTATGGGGGCAAGAATGAAGAAAGGAATTACAAGTTCTGTGTTTGTTGAGGCACCAAACGACGGTGGTCATCACACCATTTGTCAACACCATCATAATCTATGGCTGCTTTGGAACAAAGCGCACAACCCAAGTAGTACCACTGCATAGAAGAATCAACCGAAACGATCCGACCAGAGCAATGGTAACGCGTAGACTAAAAAAAAAGTAAACGGAAGAAATGATTAGACGGACAAACAAATGAAGTGAAAGGAACAAAAGCAGGTAAGTTGGAGAGCAAAAGGGGAAAAAACATACATCGGCAACAGGTGGAAAACACAAAGCAAGCAGTTGTGACACAGTCTTCGTACATTCAGCTTCGAAGGCCGCTGCCTCAGTAGGAGTTGCAAACCTCGGAGGGTAATATTGACATGTATTAGTGCTGGCAAAGAACCTAACGGAAGCGAAAGCAAGGAACGCAACAAATTAGCAGTAACAAAAAAGACAGCTGATGATGCAAAGGGAAAAACAAATATGAGGAGGATAAGAAAAGACATACACAGATTGGACCAGGTGAGCCATTTCAGAAACAGGGTTGAGAACACAACGTGTGCCTGGAGTACTGGTCAGAGAGTAACCTCCTACAAAAGGGGTAAAGGTAATAAGGAAAGAAGGAAGGGAAATGAAAGGGAGAATAGTGCAGCGGTAAGGTACATGCAGACCTTTCGTAGCGCCAGTGACTCGCAGTGAGCAAACAGCAAGCATGACTGGCCCAGAACGACCAAGGACAGCCAGTTCCTGACCATTGAGATTCCGAGCTATATCACTCCACAGACTGATATCAAGAAACATGTGACTGGGCAAAAAAACAACGAAAGTAAGTAACAAATGTAGCACAGTCGATAAAGCAGTGGTGTGCATGTGTAACATACTTTTCATTCTGAAGCACCAAATCACTCCGCACAGTGGTACCGAATGAAGTAACAGTGCTAGAAACGCCTGTAATGCTAACAACAGCGCCAACGACATCTGACAGAAGCACAAGCAAGAGAAGAGAGGAAAGGGTGGTAAGCAGTACAGTGCAGAACGGACAGCAAGAGACGTAAAGAATACAGGACAAGACCTGTTAGATAGACCGATGAACGTATGCGGGAATGAAGCGAGCTGAACGGGGTAAATTCGAACGCATCTGGCCAGAATGAAGGTGACGAACGGGTAACGTCTTCGAACTGTGTAGCAGCAGAGAGGACGATGGTCAACTTATGAGAGCAAGAACGATACGAAGGGGCCGGTGGCTTGACGCGGAAGTTGCTCACGAAATAAACGCTACCCAACTGGAGAAGCGGAGAGAAATGGCGCGTGAGTTCCGAAGGAGCCGTGCCCTGAATCAAAGTACCCTGGCCAGAAAAGAAACGAACATCAGAGGGCTGTAAAAAGAAGGGAGGCGCAAGATTGCATGGCAAAATAAAAAGAAAGCAGCGCTGACCTCCTCATCATTCCACAGAGTGCAGTAGTTGAAGATTAATGTAGGATTCTTCAGCCCATAAGACCCCCACGCATGAAGGAGGCGCAGCTTCAGAAGAGTCTGAAGGCCATCGGAGTCGCTGAGGTCAAGAAGCAATTTATGGGTCACCATGGAAGAGCAATAGAAGAAAGCAAGCGAGCAAGCAAGATAGAAGAGGGAAAGTCTGTGAGGAGCATAAATGAAAGGTAGCAAAGCAACAGAAGACTTTTGTGGGGAAAGGAACAGATGAGGAAGCGCCAGACCTGTCATTTCTCAGGGGAAAGGTGAGGAGTTCCGAAAACCGATAAGTTGCAGAGAGAAGAGAAGTCGCTGGCGCAGCAACCCAGGCTAAAAGCAGAGACGAAAGAGAGAGAAAGCAATGATTACAGACGAGAACGCAGTACAAATGTGGCAAAGAAAAACAGTGTTAAGACGTGACTCTATGAAACAGTAAACTTGTAACTTGTTCTTTTAAAGAGATAATATATCCGGCCACTTGTTGCTTGAGAGATTGGACTTAGTGGAAGACTTGGTTGAGAGATTGGACAACACCCAAATCCTGAGTCTTCACCCGGAAGCGTGATAGGAAGGTTACACATCCTTGCATATTGTTCCATATTGATTACGTTTAATTTCGGATTTACATTTCATCTCTAAACGCGTTTCGTCGGTAAAAATCGAGAAATATCTAACTTATGAATCATTAAACTCTCTCGTACATTGTCGATATAGGATTCACCTTAAAACTATTGCACGGAATCATATAGAGATTTCGAACTCAATTTTCCAAGTACGGTCATAATTAGTTAACCACCTCCCGAGTACTTCTTCAAACCTTATCACCCGCCATTCCGCCATTGACAATTGGGAAGTGCATGATGAACTGATAGTGGACGACTTGCTTTGCTTATGGGTTGGAGTTGGACACCACTACTGCAAAAATGGATACACTCAATGGTGGAGTTATATGTAGTTGGAGGGGATAAAGCTTCCACTAAAATTTTGATATAATTGAGGGTTTATTTTTCAGGAAATATAAAGAAATAACCATGCTACGCAAATGACTCTAAGTTGAATGACAAAAATCACCACTGTTAAATGTGAGATAAAAATACATGCTCGTACTGTACTAAATCATATGAAGAACTTAAACAATTTCTGGAAGGAATCATTACTCGATATAATTAATCCAATGAGTCGAGCGTCACAAGGGTGCGTGGGTGCATGCATGCAAAAGTGACTCTAACCCCACGTAATTTTATGACAAACTTACCAATTGGTACCCGCATTTATATAGATACCGATAGCATCTAGTACCAATACACTTAATATATATATTATATATATATATATATATATATATATATATATATATATATATATATGGGTCAGACTGGCGTATGTTAGGCGTATGCTATACGTCAGGTACTACTAGTGAGATATCTCTATCTAGACCATGAATTAAATCGAGTTTGGGGTATGATACTATACCCTAACCTCTAATGGATAAACCCCAGGCACCCATTTTCAAAACCCTAACCCGAAGTTTGATTAAATGAAAAACAAAAATTGACCGTTGAGATTGGCCGGAGCTCATCTAACTACATCTAACGGCTAGATCACCTGACGTATACTATACGCCTGACGTGCACCAGTATTCACCATATATATATATATGGCGGTGTATTCGGTGCACCCACTTTTTTGGGTGCACTCAATGCACTCGCCTCATAATCGTCATTCCGAGCATGCGATTCATGTCAAAACGGTATCAATCGTCGCTTATGATATTATGAACAATAAACACATAGATTTGCAAAAAAACTCATTCAAGATTTACTTTAATTTCAAGGATTTAGGATTTACGGATTTAGGGTTAGGGTTTATGTTTACAATTTGGAATTTTGATTTGGGATTCATAATTGAATCAGTGCAAGAGGAACATCTCGTACCAATAAACCTAAGTATGTGAGGTATCTCTTGAGATGGTTCTTGAAGATTTTATAGCATTATTTAGAAAAGAGTTTTGTAACTTATCCTATCTTCACCAGAATTACCAAATGACCAATACAAATTTTTTAGAAAATACCCTGAATTGGGCTTCAGGGCCTTGTTTCGGTTTGTCCCTCTCAAGTCTCAACCCAGATTGCCACCCCAAATTTAGATGGGCTTTTTTCTTCTTAAAAGTAACTCGGATAAGTGTTGGGCTTTTGGCGGGTGAGTCCAAGCTTTTTTGTAGGCTTGAAAAGGGAGTCCATGATATTCCATACAGTGTGTGGTCAAATGCTTGAATACGTCATCGATGATCCAGAGACGTTGAATTTCTCGATCACTTACCTAATTCGGCCGCTTCTCCAGACGTCAGCGATGATGCCTCCCATTTTCTTTGTTCTTCTCCGCCATGAACGCGGGCGCCGGCCTTTCTCCAGTTCTCACGTGGGGATTCACTATAAGTACCCGATTGGACGGCATTGTTGCAAAAGGAGATAATTTCTTTGATTCCGATTTCTCAGAGAAGTAAACGATTGAAACAGCGAAGAAACAGGAGAAGAACAAGAAGAAAAAGAATACGACAATGGCAGCAAAACCATCAGCGATTCCCCTTCTCGCCCCATACAAGATGGGAAAGTTCGATCTTTCTCATAGGTACGTCTTTGACTTGGTCATTTTTCTCGAACACGTTGACTGCAAACTATTAGATTCTGGATTGGGGCTCTGTTTTCTAGTTCAGAGTTGAAAACCCTCCAATTTGGGCAACTCGGTATTGTGTAGAATGGGTTGCTGAGAAATGGGTTGAGTTTCTGGGTTTGCTTGGGGGGAGAACGGTATATGATGTACGGTTGCTTTTGTGGATAGTTTATATCTCTGTACGTTCTGTAGTTCGGTGACTGATCGCTCTCCAATTGAGTAAATGTGATGCTGGGATGTTTTTTAGAACTTGTTACCCTGAAATAGGATTATGAATAAAGTCACCAACTTTGACAAACCCAACCCTGTATTCATAGAGTCCTAGCATGTAGTATATAGCACCATAAGCCATCTTAGCGTAGCATGTAGTAGAGAGGCGTAAAGTAGCTCCAGTTCCTTTTGTACTCCAACAAGAAACTACTTCTATAGCTAAAAAAATGGATGAACCTTATGCTATTCTCTTTTGTTGGCTTGGTTCCAGAATTGTCCTTGCACCATTGACAAGACAGAGATCTTATGGAAATGTCCCACAGCCACATGCCATCTTGTATTACTCCCAGAGGACAACCAAAGGTGGTCTTCTGATAGCTGAAGCTACTGGAGTATCTGACACTGCACAAGGGTGAGTATTTTTTTCTTTTTTTCTAGCTACTCTTTGTACTTCTTGCTTTGATGCAACTAGAGGTGTTTCTTTAATTTGCAAGTTTTTCAAGTTCTCACGTGTTGTTGGAATGTATTCTATGTCGGTTCATCGTGTTAACAGGTATAAAGATGCCCCTGGAATCTGGACCAAAGAGCAAGTTGAGGCATGGAAACCAATTGTGGATGCTGTTCATGCCAAGGGTGGCATATTTTTCCTTCAGATTTGGCACGTTGGGAGGGTTTCAAATTCAGGTGATTTCCTTAGTCTATGGAAGAAACGTATTCTTTTTTCATGGCAGCAATAATTGACTTAGGCTTCTAGTTGTTTGCATCATTATTGACATCTATACATCTGTGCAGGTTTTCAGCCAAATGGGCAGGCGCCAATCTCGTCTAGTGACAAGCCATTGACCCCTCAGCGTCGCGCAAATGGCATTGATGTTGCACAATTCACACCCCCAAGACGATTGCGCACAGATGAGATCCCTCAAATTGTCAATGACTTCAGAATTGCTGCAAAGAATGCAATGGAAGCAGGCTTTGACGGAGTGGAGATACACGGTGCTCATGGTTATCTCATCGACCAATTCCTGAAAGACCAAGTGAACGATAGAACCGACCAATATGGCGGGTCTCTAGAGAACCGTTGTAGGTTTGCTCTAGAGATAGTCGAAGCTATAAGCAATGAGATTGGAGCAGACAGAGTTGGAATCAGATTGTCTCCATTTGCAAACTATGGTGAATGTGGCGACTCGAACCCAGAAGCTTTAGGCCTATACATGGCTGAGTCCTTGAACAAATATGGGATTGCCTACTGTCACATGGTTGAGCCCAGAATGAAGACGGTGGCTGAAAAAGTTGAAACTCCTCAGAGTCTCCTCCCCATGAGACAAGCTTTCAAGGGCACTTTCGTTGCTGCTGGAGGTTTTGGCAGGGAAGATGGGAACAAAGCTGTGGAAGAGGATCGTGCTGACTTAGTGGCTTATGGTCGTCTGTTCTTGGCTAATCCTGATCTACCGAGGAGATTTGAGCTCAATGCGCCTCTCAACAAGTACAACAGGGACACGTTCTACATTTCTGATCCTGTTATAGGGTACACTGACTACCCTTTCTTGGATTCACATCATTAGTTGTCAGTGATTTGTTTTTCATTTCCATTTGTTTAGAATTGGGTTTGGGTCAGAAGTCAGATAAAGAGAGGGATTCTTCCTTACCATATGGTTCATTCTACAGATTTCATTTCAGTTTATTGGCTTATAAAGTTAAAATGATTTGGAATCTTCGAGTTCAAATTGACTTATTGTAGAAGTTAGCTCCCCCTCCACGTAAGCTTTCCTGAAAAATGTTCACTTCAGCCAGAAAAAGCCTCTTCCATCCGTTCTCTTCATCGACTCTACCTCCATCCTGCATGTCACTCGTCTCCTTGATTCCCACCATTCTCCCCGGCAGACGCCTTCTCAACTCGAACTTACTTTTCATCCCCGTGCAGCAACAGCCAACTCTATACAATTACATCCCACCAATCTGTCTCTGTGCAAATTTGTCATGAAGTAAATTTTTCAATGAGACAAGCCTGGTGACAACTTCACCGATACTGATTCTCTCATTTGGGGAGTCTGAAGAACAAACGACACCTATTTCGAGAATGGAGATCAGAACCTCCTCTAGTATTTGGCCCTTCTTCTTCTTAGTTTCCTGTGTGTTGCTGCTGCTAATGGCATCAAAAGGGGTTGCTTGACCAAGAGGTAGCTCATTGATTAGAACAGGATCCAGAACTTGTGCCATTAGCTTCTCTGATAGAGCAGTTCTAACAAATGTATGAATGTTCAGACCTTCTTTGAAAATCTCATCGGTTGGTCTCTTTCCAGTGAAAACCTCACATAAGAGTACTCCATAGCTGTAGACATCACCTTGTTTTGAGACTTCATTTCCCATACCGTATTCTGTAGTTATGCATAAAGGAAAAGTGAGGAAATCATTACTGATTTGATTAGTAAAGAAGAGAAATTCAATAGTTATTAAACGAAATTAATCAAAACATTGTATTTATTCACTTATAGGTATCCAAGATAAGACGTTTACCAGGAGGAGCATAGCCAATTGTTCCTTTTATGCCAATGGTGCTTGACATCTGGCCTATCGAAGAGGGATCTCCAGTGGGTTGTAGGAATCTTGCCAACCCAAAATCGTTAACATGACCAGTCATGTCTTCATTGAGAAGCACATTGCTCGGTTTGAGATCGCAATGAACTATAGGGGTTCCGCATTGGTGGTGAATATAATCTACTGCAGTAGCTACATCAATGACAACATTCAGCCTTTGGAGGAAATTCAAGCTCCTTAGAGGCTCGTTTCCATCTGCAACTGGATGCAACCAATCTTCGAGGCTACCATTGGCCAAGTACTCATATACGAGAGCCTTGAAGTCATTCATTTGATCATCGATACCTGAACACACTGTTAGTATTCTCACAAGATTTTTGTGCCTGATGTTCTTCAATGCTGCACATTCTGCCATGAAGCTCTTGGAACCTCCACGACGTTGTAGGTTAAACACTTTCACTGCGACGGTGGTTTCAATCCCATTCTTGTCCAGGAGTCCCTTATACACAGAACCAAAGCTGCCCACACCAATCAAATTTGCTCCAGAAAACCCATTTGTAGCTTTATGAAGGTCACGGTAAGACAATGGGAGCTGTGAATCATCAGCAGAAACTGTATCTTGTTTTCCTCTCTTTTTGTTCCAAAAGATAAGCAACCAAGAACCCACGAATGCCAGCAATAATACACTGGAGACTGTCGATATGACAATCTTGATGATCAACTTATGGCTGAATGCATTCTTTTTCTGCTTGAAGTTACAAGGTGGAAGATTGAGTTCAATCACACCACCACAGAGTTTGCCATTTCCAACGATTGAAATAATGCTGCCATTCCTGAAGACTCCATTTGATGGCACTTCCCCCTCAATACTGTTATAAGACAGATTCAAAAGCTGCAATAGCTTCATGCCTTCGAACGATTTTGGAAATTGACCTGATAAGTTATTGCTAGAGATGTCCAACAGTTTGATACTTCTTAATGAACTTAGAGAAGAAGGAATGGTTCCTTGTAACAGATTGCTTTGCAAGCTCAGCATCTCTAATTTTGCACAACTACCAAGAGAAGCTGGTATTTCACCTGATAACATGTTATGTGACAGATCCAACTCCCCTAAATTTGTCAGACTTCCTATGCTTATTGGAATGGTGCCAGATAAACGATTATGAGACAAGAGCATATGAAGTGACAAGGAAGAAAGACCCATGAGTTGTGAGGGAATGGTGCCACTAAGATTGTTTTGAGAAAAGCTCAAACCTATCAAACTTGTGCAGTTCCCAATTGCAGCAGGAATTTCTCCTTGTAACTTGTTGTCCCCAAGATCCAACCTATACAATCTAGTCAACTTCCAATGGCAGATGGAATGCAACCTGCAATATTGTTGCTACTCAAATCTATATACTGCAAATTTCCCATGTTTCCAATGATCGACGGGATTTCACCCGAGAGATCGTTCTTATGTGCATCCAAGACCTGCAAGTTGACGAGGTTCTGTATCGCGCTTGGTATACTCCCGGAGAATCTGTTCCTGTACAGACTAAGCATCTCCAGGCTGGTTGGTAAGCTGCCAATCACCTCTGATAAGTTGCCTTCAAAGTGATTCACATGAACAAACAACTGCACCAAGCTGGTTGCATTGGGCAGAGAAGAGAAGAAGCTCAAATCATCAGCCTTCCCACCACCAAGAGAGTTTTGGTAGATGTAAATGCGGGAAAGCTTGTGAGAGCTTTCCATACCGGGCATCCTCCCGGTAAAATTGTTGAACTGCAGTTGAAGTATAACCAAGTTCGAGGCATTGGATAGAGAAGCTGGGATGCTACCACTAAACTGGTTTTCAGCCATATCCAAATGCACAAGATTGGGAAGTGACAATCCCATTTCTCTAGGTAGATTGCCGTGGAGTTTGTTCACTCCAAATGACAAAATCGTGAGGGAAGAAAGATTGAATACAGAAGCCGGGATTTCACCCAATAAGTTGTTCGACGCGACAATGAGCTCCTCCAAACTCGTCATTTGGCCCAAAACATCACGAATTCCCCCACTGAACCTGTTCTCTTCTGCGTAGAACACGCGTAGAGACGACAAGTTTCCAAGAGATTGAGGAATGATGGTTCCTGTCAGATTGTTTGAATTGATCCAAAGCTCCTCGAGCCTGTGCAAGGATCCAAGCTGCCATGGTATCTGTCCACCAATTTGTTGTTTCCTACTTTGAACTGGGTAAGGGCAGAGCACCCTGAGATGTTGGATGGGATCAAGCCACCGAGCAAATTGTCCTGGAGAATCAGGTGCTGCAGTCTGTTGAGCCTGCCGATTTCGGGTGGGATTCCCTCGATCAAGCTGTTGTTGGAAAGTAGCAACCTTTGCAGGAAACTGAGGTTGCCAACGTGTGGCGAAATGGAGCCAGAGAGCTTATTAGAAGGCAGTTCCAAAACAGTGACTCTGCCGATGTGTTTCTGGGAGCAAGACACGCCGTACCACTGACAGAAGTGAGTGGAATCGTTCCACGAGCTCAGAACCCCCAAAGGGTCACCGGTGATCATGGACTTGAACTGCAGCAACGCCATTCGATCCGTCTCGTTGCTCGAATTGATGTTCGAAGAGGCTGCTGCTGATGTAGTAAGAAGTAGTGCAACTACCCACCAACTTGGTGAAGAAGAACCAATCATCTTGGCGGGAACACTATGGTAAATCACTCTTTTTTTTCATAGGAAAACGCAGGAAAGCTAGTTGATATTTGGTGATGATCATATGAATTATCTCTTCTGCTAGTTGCTGGGATTTTAATTTTTAAACACTGCGGGCTCTGAATGGGATCCAACTAAGCTGGACCCATATGTCACGGACTATACCCATTACCGAGACAAAATGTAGAAACTTCAACCTTATTTTCTTTTCCCAAGAAGGATAAGAGACTAGACATTTTAAAAATTCTAAGAATACCAGAACGGTTTCATTTATCTCAACGAGACTCCACCATTATAAAGAAAAATAATGGTTGATCGGTGCA